ATTCATTCAGACTCCGGTATAGATATCAGTTCATTACAAACGTATTCTCCTCATGATTTTCTACCTATATTTAAGGCAAAAAACGAAAACCAACATCAGAAAATTATTCATTCACTCGGAATTCATTTAAACGCCGCAAAGATTCTTTCACGTTATAATAATCCAATACCTTTACGGTGGTTCCTTCAAAGTGCAAAAAATTATACTATGCAAAAACAATTATGCATTCAATTATCACGAAGAGCAAATGATTCTGAAGTTGATGGGGAGCACTTTGAAAATGAAAGTGAATGGATCCAATTGTTAGAAGACATGAAGATATTACAAGGTGATGGTAGAGGTGTCTTAGGGGAAATATCTATTGAAGGAATTTATGAAAATTTCATATCTGGACTTCTGAGTTGTGGAAGTATCCTTTGATATAACATTGCAAATAATCTTATTTCGAATTATAATACTAACCTTTGTGAAAGAAGCCAAAATAAATATTTATCCATAACCTTTAACTCACAGAATTCAGATTGGCGCGTGAAATCCTTTTGCCAACCGATGAATCACATCCTTTAAAAATGGATATAACAGAAAAACTAGTTATCAATGCATCAAGAGAATTTTTCGATAACGCTACCTCAGGAAATATGAATCATGGTTACATGAAGATGGCATACGAATGGTACTTTTTTCTTTATTAAGAAGATATGGCCATGTTTAATCTAATATTCAGTATATCATTGAAAAAAAAAACGGCCATGTCTCATTGATTGCTAGGTATTTTGATAATGTTATATTCAAAATTAATGATAAATAATTCTATTTATAGTCTTCAAATATTACCGAAATCGGACACTATAATAGCAGAGCTTGAATTGATTGAGGCAACACATGTTTTGTCAGAAAAGAAAATTTGTTACCAACCTGGAGTACCAATACATCCATTGCACATACGCATTTCACCAAATCGGTTGGACTTTATAGATCGTCTATTGAGTACATATGAAGATGCTTACCGTGACCCAAACTCAATTATAAAACTTGCAAAAAATCTTGGTTATCGAAATGACAAAGTTGCTGAAGTCAAAGTAATGGCCATGCTCGCAGATGCCGCATTACGTGATAATAATTTTGTTACTGCGTACAACACGTGTGTCGATTTAGTGAATGTTATCAAAGTTATAGCGAGTGCTAATAAAGGTGATAACGAAAATACAGAACTAGCTTTAGCCAATGATTCTGCTTGGAGAATATGTTATGAGGTTGCCAAACAGGAAAATTATAGAGACTTAGAACAACAAATGACACTTATGGGATACGCCTTATCATTGTGTCCAAGTGATCAAATT